TTTCATATACGTGATGGCACATTCACATATTCCAGTCATTACTAGCTTTGGCCACCAGGTATGATCCACACCTCAGCATGTTGCTCAGCACACTTTGATAGGAACAGCAAAAGGCAGCTCCTCAGTTGATGAAACCAGCTGCAGAGTTGTTGAGATTCCTTCCCCCACCATGCCTTTTCGATATTTAGATATCTGAATGTCTCAAGAACGTTTTTGAAACACCCAAGGTTTAAATCCAGGTAAGACAGGGAGCGGGGAGGATGATCAGTGAGAAGATTCCTTGCAATGCTGCTTATTGCAAATGGACAAAGGCAACACAGAGCAGCTAAAAGGAGTTTTTTTGGTGAAAAATGTCTATTCTGCTAAATGTCACATATGCAACAGCTTCGCAGGCATTATGTTATGGGCTCTCATTGCCTCTTTTGGATTTCAAATTGAATGTCAAATATAATTTGGACAAGAGAGAAATAAAAGAGCAAGAGCATGCATGGAAAGAACATAATAGCCCAGTTCCTATATTGCACATTAACATTTGCTGAGTCTAAAAACCTATCAATCATTATGCATTATCCCATATGAGGGGGAAATGTTATGAATACATGCTGTTCAAGCAGATGAACACTGTAAACAAGTACCTTCCCAGCACTTTAAGGGTTTTGAAATCACTGGCATTAAAGTGGCTTGGAATATACTGCAGAATACTAGAGGTACGAAAAAGGGCAAGTGTAGCTTTCATGGTCCCTGAGGGGAGAGGGAGAAGGTGCCTCGTCAAAAGTCAGAGAGCTGCAGCCTCTATAATGCCCTTCTTATTTCATTTTAGTAGCTGAGGGGCTGCTGCTACTGCTGCTGTTCCCCCCAAACTGGTTCTGGTACAGTGGGAGGAATTGCTCATGGGAGAAGGACCAGTGGCATGATCAGCAGAATCATGTCGCACAGCTCCTACTGGTTGATTCTGTTTCCAAATCAAACAGTTGAATGCTTACCCCATATAAAAACTCTGCAAATGTAAAAGGCTAGCATGTGGAGTTTTGAATTATGGTGCTGGAGGAGACTCTTGAGAGTTCCATGGACTGCTAGAAGATCAAACCTCTCCATTCTGAAGGAAATCAGCCCTGAGTGCTCACTGGAAGGACAGATCCTGAAGCTGAGGCTCCAAGACTTTGGCCACCTCATGAGAAGAGAAGACTCCCTGGAAAATACCCTGATGTTGGGAAAGATGGAGGGCACAAGGAGAAGGGGACGGCAGAGGACGAGGTGGTTGGACAGTGTTCTCGAAGCTACCAGCATGAGTTTGACCAAACTGCAGGAGGCATTGGAAGTGCCTGGCGTGTTCTGGTCCAGGGGGTCACGAAGAGGTGGACACGACTAAACGACTGAACAACAACAACAACATGTAGAGAAGACGTCTGTCCCCACTGCCTGCCACCTTGACTTGCCACTTTTCTATATGCAAGAGCAAGCCAGCAAACAACCCCTACAGGGACTGAAGCAGCTCCATTTATTCCTTTATTGCATTTATAGCCTATATTTTTCTCCAAGGAGCTCAAGGTGGCATACACGGCTCCCTGCCCCATCTCATTTAATCCTCACAACAAACCTGAGAGGTAGGTTTGGCTGAGAGGCAGTGAGCTCTCAGCCCAGTGTCACCCAGTGAGCTTCATGGACAAGTGGGGATATGAACCCTGGTCTCCCGGGTCCTAGTCCAGCATTCTGACTGCTGGTCCAACACTCTAACACTGGCTCCACTACATCACGAGCTTCTGCTAATTGAGCAGCTCACTTCTAAACTTTTAGCAAGTGAACAGGGGCATCTGTCTAGGTAGCTTCTTCCAGTTTGCAAGCACAATCCACACCACAGCATCTGGAATCAGTGACCAAAAGGGGGAAACAATCGTCTGAAGCAGGAAAGCACAAGACATGCAACTGGGAGCTTTTTCCCATTTCCTCCCCAGTTAATTTTCTGGTTGCGTAGTGTGCAGCCGAGTATTAATGTCACTGTTAATGAAGTCATTTGTTGCCACTGCCCTGTAGCTTGTAGGTCACAGTACGGCACACAGCAAAGAGCTCAGTCCCCCAGAGGAGTTATAAGCTGCCTTCTTTAGTGCCACTGTTTAATCTGCAGGCATTTAATGTACCATGGGGACCTTTCCAGAGGGGAAGCACTGCTTTTACATGGTATTTAAGCAAAGCCAGGGATGGATTTTTCTGACTGCCACTTGCCTCAAAGTCAAAGCCTGGAAGAGCAGCCAGCCAGCAGAGCCTGCTTCCTTTCAGAGTAGGAAATGCTATGCAGTGTTTGGAAGGAAGCACTGCAGCAACTCATCATCTCTGCAGAAATAGCCGGAGCGGCAGGAGCGCAGGCCATGATGCTTCAAAAGTGGAAGGAATGCACATTTTGGATGAGATGGAAGAAAAGGCACGAGTCAGAAGGAGCCACACTGGAACTAATACAGATAAAGCAGCATAAAAGCAAAAGAGAAGGCTTGGGTAGCCAGCAGAAACTCATTTAAATAAGCTAGACTGAAGCTGGGGAAAAATGTTTTATAAAATCAGACTGTCATTCTGTATTATGATCAGGTCTCTCTCATATTAAGCCAGCATAACTAAAGTTGCAGGCTGGCTTTTCCCAAGTGATGGCTTTTATCTGGGAGGGTGTAATGGCTGTAAATCAAATTGAAAAGTGACATTGACAATAATTGTGTTTTAGTTGTTTGTTCATTTGGGTTTTTTTGACAGATGTGTTCAGCGCCGACAACATTCAGAAGTGACACGTTCCAGAGTAAAAGGCATTTGTAGGTATCATTTACAGAAATGAGCTAATTCTTCATTTTCTCCATAGAATGCCTATCGGCTGTATTCTTGTGTGACGGGGAGAGGGGTCAGACGTCCCTCAAGCCATTTCTGACTTCCAGGGAGTGTGTGTGTTGCAAGTGGGGAAAGCAGGATGGCAGGGGCAAGTGGCAAGTGGCTGAAGTCCTCTTTCCCCCTGCAAAAAACAAAACTTCCCCTTCCCTTTGAAATTTCTGACTGTGCTCTTACAGCTCAGGCAGGTGATCAGAAATCTCATTCGATGCATCTGTTACTGGGCTGGTCCACTTCAGGCTACAGGAGGGAATTCAAGTACAGTACAGTGTGCCTGCAATTTACGAGCATTTTCAGCTTTATGTATGCGGCCAAAAAAATTAAGAAATTAAAAAGGGACAGAATTTCAGGGAAAATGGCTTTGGCAATCCCACTCACCATTGAACCCAATGTGCTTTAACTATGTGCGATGTTGGCTTTAAGCACAATCCCTGGAACGTTAGCTTACTGTTTCTGAAAGCTTTCCCACATAAAACACTGTGTCTCTCTCTGTGTGTGTGTGTGTGTGTGTGTGTGTGTGTGTATGTGTGCAAAATCAGCCTGTTAGGGAAAAGGCCAGGACCTTTTCATCTAGATGCTTCTCCCAACAACCAATCATCCTGTCATGTCATTGAAATGGAAACTACTGGGGTGTGTGGGTAAGGATTGCAAAAGGAAGAGGCAAAGGCCATTTGCACATGTCAATTCATTTCCATCTAAACTCAGATTCATTGACTGAGTGTAAAGCAAGAGCATGATTAGAAATGAATATCCACCAACTTTCAAAACTTGTTGAAATTCCTCATATACTTTCAATCATAGAAGCCAACTCCTAGCGGCTAAGGGGTCTTTGGGAGCCCCAATAAGATATTTGAGAGGGTCGCCCCCCAAGTTAATGGGTGTTGCCATTCAAATGGTATGGGTGCACCGTGCCATGTGAGTGACTATGCAGTTCATTCAAGTTGGCACCCCTGCTTTCAATATAAAAATTCACATTTGTATTATAAATGTTTTATTTCACTTCAGCACTTGAAATTCTTGTTCTTTAGACCTTTCAGTGTCTCCTGTTTGTTTGAACATCAGCTGTGAAATCCCACATGTTGGCAAATGCCATATGCAACTGTATCTTTGCATGCCAGCAGTCAAGCACTGTCCAATGGGAAATGCCATCTCATGCCATCAGTCAAATACTGTTAAGTATCAGCTATCAAACATTGCACTCATTTATGCGAGCATGGCAAACGCAGACAAGAAGTTTCTCTGATATAATTTATTTATTGAATTTATATCCTACCTTTCTTCAGTGAGTTCAAGGTGGGGTACATAGGTCTCCTCCTCTCTATTTTAACCTCACATCAACCCTGTGAGGCAGGATAGGCTCCAAGCAAGTGACTAGCCCCCAGTGAGGTTCACAACAGAGTGTGGATTCAAACCCTGGTCTCTCAGATTGTTGCCAACACTCTCACCACCACACCATTGCCAAAATTCACACGGATGGTTTTTTTATATCTAAGTTGTTTCAGCTCCATGGGGTGGTAGTGATGGAGGAGAGGAGCTTGTTTTAACGCCTGTGCACGTCCTGTTGGTACAGTACCACACCTTTATTATTTATTTTATTCCCTCTCACTTAAAATTTATATCTCACACTACTCTTTAAAATGATCTCAGAGTAGGCAGCAACACACACTTGTGCACTGAATTTTTTGGGGGGAAACCCTGAAATAACATACACCCTATTTCTTGATACCGTGGAACATGTATTAACCATTGATTATTCAAGCTATGTTGGTTGAATCTGTATTTTGCTATATTGAAAACTAATAAAAATATTCTGGGGGAGAGGATAAGCATAGGCTCACCGAGGAAGAACAGAGTTCCAGGTGCATATTCTGATGTCTATTTGCATGCACATCCTCACCTGCATTCTGCCTCCCCCAACTGGTCAACTGACAGGTGACTGGGCTGGGATGAGGAAGAGCTGGTGCAGTATGGGGGCTAACAAGGATGCTTCTGCCTTACGTTGCCCCCCCCCCCATTCCATAGTCTTTCACAAACAGGTTTTAAAAAGAGGGTTGTGTGTCTGTGTGCATGCACATGCGCACCCATGCTAAGGCAATATTATGCCGCCTCCATTTTGGCTAGGCCTTGTAAGAGACCCCAGAGGATAGCAGGCCAAGTCTTTGCAGCACAGACTGAAAAGGTAAGCAAAGAACAATCCCCCTGCTTCTGCGTTGCTCTGACCTCTTTTGAAGACACATACATGAAAGGATCACATAGGAAGTGAAGAATAAAGAAAGTAAAATCCACTGAGCAGTAAAGGATTATTTAAACACCCCGTGGGGCTCTAGCGAGTTTAGTGATAGCACTAGATCAAAGCGCCTGTCACAATTGGCACCAAACACACAAAGTCAGCAAAGCTAGGCCGGTCCCTTTTACTTAAAGGCATTTTCTTTTGTTTCATTCCTTGATAGCCCCATGTGTCAAAAAATCAATAAATGTATATTCATGATGGAGGAGGGGGAGGGGGAGATCATGGGGAAGAAAGGGTCTTCAGCAGCAAGAGGTGTTTGTTGGAAAAGTTCCAGATTTTGTTAAAAGATGCTGAGCCTCCCATGAGATTTAGCTAATTGCAGGTGGGGATCTGACTGCATTATGCAGTATTTTTTGATGCAGAATTGTTAGGTTTAATAATTTGGGACTGTTTTATTCATATGTTTATAAACTGTTACTTGTTGCATTTTATTTGAACTGCCTTGGGGAGTGTTTTGTCAAAGACAATGTAGAAAATTATTAAATAAATAAATGAAGCATGCAATCTCTCCATCCTATGTACCACAGAGGGCTGAGCAGAGAATGGCAGAAAGCAGTGGGCAATTTTGACATAAACGGAAGGGTTGCCATATGTCCGGAATTTCCTTATTGTTAAATATTATCAAAATAATAGCTCTTATTGTCAAAAGAATAGGTCTTATTTATGATGCTGGCAGCACAAAAAATAATCGCAAGTCAAAAGGAAAACAGCCCAAAATTTTACATTGGACACATAGTACCACTCACTCTGGTATATAGCTATAATGGAGAAAATTACACATAATTTGAGATTTCGACAACAACTAGAAACTCCAGACAGTTTCTATATGACCTGGCATTCCTTTATGACACAAACGGTGGAAGCATCATTTTCAAGACACCCCTCATCACAAGCCTGGCAGATCTGGAACTAGACTTGATGATCTGATAACACTGTGAGACTTTACACGGACTTGTTTATTTAAGCCTTGTTGTCAGGGACTGGACTGAAGAGGAGGAGGAGTGGTGGAGGTCGTGTCCCCCCACTTTTGTCTGTAGCTTCCAGGGAAGAGGAAGGCAGTCTCAAATTGCAGCAGGGCTAGGAGGAAGATGACAGCTCAGAGACGGGAAAACAGCAGAGTTATGCGGTGTTAGGGGAAGGAGGAGGGGAGACAGCAGCCAGCTGACACATCACTGGACAGCATGACCGACCCTCCTTCTCCCAAAACGCACCGTTTGTTAAGGGTGCAAGAACAAAGGGCACAACGACAGTTGGCCACGGGCGGATGCCGTAGAAGCAGGGGTAGTTGTTGTTAGAAGGGAAGGAGGGCAGCTCAGTGCGAGCATCTCTGTCATGGAGGAATGATTGGATTCCTTTGTCTTTCACTGTGATGATGGAATAAATCATAAGCAAGAACTTCCTTGTTTCCTCCCTGATTCTTGGTGCCATCAGGGGGATGGAGAGGATTCCTCGAGCCTGACACGTGCAACTGGATTCATTCTACATGCCTATTATATGGTTTTGCTGTTTGTTTTTAAATTTTCATCTGTTGTTATAACTGTTTTCTTTGTTTTATATACATTATAAAATGAAATAAAAAGGAACTTTTCAAAAAAGAAGATGACAGCTGTCAGTGGGCGTATCATGCCCCCAGCCAGAGCCCACCCCCAGCCCTGTGCTCTTTGCCCCTGGGCCCGCTAGGCTCATGGGCATCTTCAGCTCATAGCAACTTCATGATTTCAGGAATTAAATGGTGTTTGCTTCCGTTGTCCTGATGTGAAATACATTCACTTGGGAATACGCACCATTTTCTCATTGAAAAGAAAAGTGTTTGTGTGTGTGTGTGCACCCACCCACCCACACATGCACAACTCCCCATTTATGCAGGGGTTATGTTCTGAGGCACCATGCATTTGAGTGAAATTGTGTATATTTGGAACACCACTGAAAAAGCCTGCAAACGTTCTCTAAGCCTCTGGAAACCATTGAAGAACCCTTTAAAAAACCAAAACTCCACCAAGCTCCTCCACAATTGCTCCCCTCAAAGCTCCTTGCTCAAGCTGCAACTCCACAGGCCTCAAAGATCAGTGCAATGGCTTGTGGGATTGTTAGATGCTTTTTTCATGCCATTTTTGTCATTTTCATGCTCTTGTAGGGCCCTTTTGGTGTCACTTCCCGGTTTGCAGTGGCTGTGTGTGCCTCAAAAGTGTGTAAATGGAGAGTTGCCTGTATTTAAAGAATACTGTATATATTTAAAGTAAAAAATAACAAGTGAGGGTGTGTAACCATGCAGATGTCTCACTGACCACCCCCAGGCTATAAAATGTTTTCCAAGTGAAATAAATAAAGGAAGGAAGGAAAGACATTGTGGCCACCATTGTGAGCCCACGTGGTCCCTAGCGTGACTATGGAGGCCCAGGTGCCTGTTGGCCCCTCCTCCCCCCACTCGCCACTCTCTGGGCCCCCATGGGGGGCTGCATTGTGGCCCCTGGACTTCAGTAGCATGGCTGGGTGTTGCAAGTATGTCCAAAAACATTTTATTTACTTTCCTGGAATACCAGGGGGTATTCCAGACGAAGCCTGCTTTCCAGATGGAAGGACGGTGTTCGCCCAGCAGTGTGCATCCACACAAAGACCCTGAGAGGCTTTCAGTGTAAGATTTGATTTATCACACTCATTCCACTTCTGCCTAAAAGCCAGCAGTGAAAATGAAAGCAATTACAACAGCAGCACTGCCCCTGATTACTAAACAGAAAGCATTTTTCTTAAGTTAGACAAAAAGGGGAATTGTCTCCAAAGTTTCACTTCCAGACCAAACACAAAGTGATTTCCGTGGTTTACATGCATACAGAGATATAGAGTTTCTCTGAAATTCTCCGGGCTTTACTACCCACCCCCAGGAAATGCACTTCTAAGCATGTACAATCTAAAGGATGTTTCCTCAGAAGCAAGTCCTCTTACTGTGTTCAATGGGATTTATACCCTCGTAAATTGCTTAGCATATCATCCTTAATCCCCCAACATAACTTGTGGTATTTCTGTCAGAGATTTGTGTGGAGGATCTCAAGCTGCTCCTCTTTGGCCCCTATCAGCCCTGCTTCTTCAATATAGGGACAATAACACAATATCATCTTACAAGGCTGCTGTAAGGACTTCTGAGGTAATGTATGCAAAGCAAGTTGAACAAAACAGCACTTATATTAAAGCTCGGAAGGTATTGTGTTTCATCCTATTGTCATGATTACTCATGTCGCCCTCACCCAATGTATTACAAAAACATCACTTTCGTTTAAGTGTAAAAAATGTAGGTATTTAAGGAATATGTACTTATTTTATTTAAAAAACAGTAAATGTATACTTTTAATAAAATGCAGCGACGGTAAAAACATGCCTGGCCGTTCAGTAAACTGTGGGCATCAGTACCTGATCTTTAATAGTCTAGGAACATTTTAGTACAATGTGAACAGTTTAGATTCAGGTAGGTAGCCGTGTTGGTCTGATGCAGTTGAAATATATATATATAATAAATTAGTAATAAATAACGTGCTACTGGATATTTTTTATTTTTTTAATATATATTTCGTGAACAGTTTACTTCAATTGCTAAAGATATCAGATCTGGATATTAAGTAATACTGGATATATCAAATAACAGAGCTGCTGTGCTAACACAACTGGGAGTCAGGAATGTGACTGTTATTTTTGTGTTCCATATGATGCCCAGTACAGAATTGCTCCCAAACATTGTTGTGGGCTATAGGTATTGTTATTCCAAGGTACATGCTGCTTTGGCATGGTTTGCCTTCTAACAAAGAACGTAAATGGAGGCAATCAAATCCAGCTAGGGATGTCACACCCATTTACCCATTTCAGAGCTGAGATTTTGAGAGATTTAAAAAGTGGCAGTTTGAATGTGGCGAGAGAAAGATAAAGTCGGTTTGGGCAGGGTCCTTTTGGGGGCTGATGCTGCTTTTGCAACACCCTGTGCAGTCGACTCACCTGTTGAAGAGAAGATAGGATTTTGAAAAGGCACCTGGCCTCCAGAACACTGGAGATCTGTTTGCTGCCGGAGTCTCAACAGAAAGAGGGTCAATGATCAGGGTGTAGGGATTGGATCTGGTCAAATATTTCAAACCACATACAACCCGACCATTTGTGGAAGGGGAGAATAGAAATTATTTTGAAGTTTGGGTGGGTGAGGCACAAGGATGGCAGTGCCAATTTCTTCTTCTTATCTTACATTGGCGTTAAGAGGTGGTACAGCATGATCTAGCTTTTAACTTTTTGTCTTCTCCAGCATTCAGTCTCTTTGTAAGTTGCAGGAATGTGGCAAGGCTGTAGTTTATCAGTTTGGTTTTGTTTGCTGCAGTTACCCTGGAAACCAGATGTTTTTGTGTACTCTTCAAGAAGCGCTGGCAAAGTACAGACAGCTATGAGGGCCATTTCAAACACAACTTTCAAAGCAAACCACCCAGAATGAGGGATCAGGCGAGCGTTTGGAGCTGGGGTGCTTCACTTTGCAAACCCTTCTGTGACTGCGAATGGACAAATTTGTGGTGGCTTCCATTCTGTTTACACCCAGCCTGCATATCATTACCTAATATTAGAACCTAATATTCATAATGGTTTCCCCATACATTTAGCTTAATTGTGGGGTTGGCAGCCTATTCTTTGAGATGATTTCAGAAAGCCACTGTGTAGGTAGTGAGAAATAAAATTCTATATGAATCCACAGAGAGAGAGAGCTTGACACACAAAAGGTAATTAAACATAATAAGATAAGAGATAAGATTCACAAAGAAGCCAAAAGGCCATTCTGACTTTATTATCTGCTTCCTGATTTGTATTGAGGCTAGAAAGGATTGAGCTACCTTTCCAGCCTCTCAGTGAAAGTCCTCACTTCAAACCATTGGCGATCAGAATTTCAATTGTCTTCTGAGTAGAGTTCTTAATAAAGGAAGGAGCAGCCTGTGTGAAACCATGGTTAGTAATAGCACACTTAATTTACAGTACAGGATGTATTGCAGCTTTGCTTAAGAATAATCACATGTCATTGATAAATTATTTCCATGCCCTCTTATTAAAGGAGGAATCGCTTTCTTTCAAGATGCACCCTTGGGACCCTCAAATAAAAGCCAAGTAGGAGGAAATAACTTTAATTCATATCCCTCCTGCCATGAGATTTCACTCGTCTCACAAAATTGTACTCTTTTATTGTATCCTGTCAATATGAGGTTCACCTGATTGTCCAGATAAATGGAAGGCCTTGAAGAAGACAACTAACTGTTGGATTATAATATGCCGTTCTGTATTCTACATTCAACACTTTATTGCAGGTGTAAGTGCAAGTCTACAACATTTACAATGCTGCTTCATACTGTTTTTGCATCTTCTCAATTTATGGAGGAAAAACGCCATTCCATTTTACCATTTACTACATGGTTTTTCCCTAGCAGATAACCCAGCAAACATCTGTTTGGCATTCTGTCTCTACATGACACATTTGTTTGAAATGAAAATTCCACAGGGTTTCTTGTCACAGGGACCAAATCTTTCCATCTATCCATCTATTTAAGTAAAACTGATTTGCCCATATGAAGACACACTGGGAGCCCAAAAAGGAAACGGGGGTGGGGTGGGGAGTGTGTCTGTTAGAACCTTAACCCTGGCAGGATTTTATTTTTTTAGGGGGTCTTCAATTGAACTCTATGTCATGATCTCACTTCCATACATCACTACAGTCATACCTCGGGTTGAATGTGCTTCAGGTTGAGCACTTTCGGGTTGCGCTCCGTGGCAACCCGGAAGTAACGGAGCGTGTTACTTCCGGGTTTCACCGCTCGCGCATGTGCAGACGCTCAAAATGACGTCACGCACATGCACGGAAGTGGCAAAATGCGGCCTGCGCACACGCAGATGCACCGTCACATCTTATGTTCCATTCAGGATGCGAACGGGGCTCCAGAACAGATCTCGTTCACATCCCGAGGTACCACTGTACTGGGAAAACCATGGCTTTAACTATACGGACCTTTGTTGGCAAGGTGATGTCTCTGCTTTTTAAGATGCTGTCTAGGTTTGTCATTGCTTTTCTCCCAAGAAGCAGGTGTCTTTTAATTTCGTGACTGCTGTCACCATCTGCAGTGATCATGGAGCCCAAGAAAGTAAAATCTCTCACTGCCTCCATTTCTTCCCCTTCTATTTGCCAGGAGGTGATGGGCCCAGTGGCCATGATCTTCGTTTTTTTGATGTTGAGCTTCAGACCATATTTTGCGCTCTCCACTTTCACCCTCATTAAAAGGTTCTTTAATTCCTCCTCACTTTCTGCCATCAAGGTTGTGTCATCTGCATATCTGAGGTTGTTGATATTTCTTCCGGCAATCTTAATTCCGGCTTGGGATTCATCCAGCCCAGCCTTTTGCGTGATGAATTCTGCATATAAGTTAAATAAGCAGGGAGACAATATACAGCCTTGTCGTACTCCTTTCCCAATTTTGAACCAATCAGCTGTTCCATATCCAGTTCTAACTGTAGCTTCTTGTCCCACATAGAGATTTCTCAGGAGACAGATGAGGTGATCAGGCACTCCCATTTATTTAAGGACTTGCCATAGTTTGCTGTGGTCGACACAGTCAAAGGCTTTTGCACAGTCAATGAAGCAGAAGTAGATGTCTTTAAGGAACTCTCTAGCTTTCGCCATAATCCAGCACATGTTTGCAATTTGGTCTCTGGTTCCTCTGCCCCTTCGAAATCCAGCTTGCACTTCTGGGAGTTCTCGGTCCACATACTGCTTGAGCCTACCTTATCACTCTTTTGTTGACTATGAGGGCCACTCCATTTCTTTTGCGGGTTTCTTGTCCACAGTAGTAGATATGATGGTCATCCGAACTGAATTTGCCCATTTCCATCCATTTTAGTTCACTGATGCCCAGGATGTCAATATTTATTCTTGCCATCTCATTTTTGACCACATCCAACTTACCAAGGTTCATGGTTCTTACATTCCAGGTTCCTATGCAATATTTTTCTTTACAGCATTGGACTTTCCTTTCGCTTCCAGGCATATCTGCAACTGAGCGACCTTTTGGCTTTGGCCCAGCCGCTTCATCAGCTCTGAATCTACTTGCACTTGTCCTCTGCTCTTCCTCAGTAGCATGTTGGATGCCTTCCGACCTGAGGGGCTCATCTTCCAGCATCATAACTTTTATATGCCTGTTGTCTTTGACTATGGAGTTTTCTTGGCAGGGATACTGAAGTGGTTTGCCGGTTCCTGCTCCAGGTGGATCATGTTTGGTCAAAACTCTCCACTCCACCTGTCCACCTTGGGTGGCCCTGCACGGCATAGCTCATAGCTTCTCTGAGTTGTTCCAGCCCCTTGGCCACGGCAAGGCAGTGATCCATGAAGGGGCAGTATCTGGTAGTGCTACTCTATTGGCACTGGCTAAGCATCAGCTGGGGTTTTATAGTCCATTCCTGGCTGTGAAAATGCTAGAAAGGGCTCAGAGAAGAGAGCAAAGGAGGTGATGTGCAAGGCCTCATTGAAATCAGTGGGAAGTTAACAATTGACATCAGTAGAATCAAGACCACATTGTCCCAAAAGGGCTCAGGCTGTAAAATCTAGCAGCAGAATAGATTGCTGGAACTGGAACATCCCCTGATTTTTGTTTGCCTAAGAGGACTAGAAAGAAGTGACTCTGGGAAATATATGGATTCTGAGAAGGCAGGAAGGAATATAGATCTGTACTTCCTTTTGGCATCTGTCTGTCTCGAGAGACAATAGTGTGCACCTCTGGGGGTCAAGGCAGTTACCGCATGAGCAGTACCCAAGTGACCTCCCAGGGGCAAGGCTGGGCAGTGCGTATGGAGGTCCTGGGCTGCCCAGACAACAAGACTTGGCCCCACTGATGTGGTCCAAAGGAAAGCAGAGCAAGACATTTGGCACCAGCCTTTTCTTCTCCTGAAGATATCCTTGCAAGGCAGCATGGAGGTTTAGGATCACTTTTCCTTCTGCTAGATAGGCTCCCTCACTTCCCTCTAGAGCACGTGCAGAAACCAGATCTACTCTATGGTGTTTATAAAAAGGGAACTCTGAAAAGGAAATAGATAATTTAACAAGTTAAGGAATTTTGAAAAATCCACTAAGTACTTTTTTGTTTGTTTGTTATAGAGGAAGAGATTATAAAACTGAAAGCTGAAAGACACATAGTTATGCATGCCATAGGGATGCCTCCCAGAGCCAGAATTACCATGAGTCACACTGTGGTAATGGATCAGAAAAGGTGGTGGTGCAGTGCTATTTTTCTAGAAAAAGAGGTGCCAGAACTCACCATGAACTCACCCTTGTTCTCTCAGAATGGCGATGGTGCCCACCTGAGAGGTGCCGGAACTGAATTCTGATGCGTTCTGGCTGAAAAAAGGGGGAGTTGAAACGAAGGAGGGAATAGGAGGCATGGGAATGGGGTTGAAGATGAAAGCAGGGGCAGGAATGGGTCTGCAGAATAGGGGGGAATGGTGGCTTCATAATTGGGCAGCAGGTGAAAAGGTCCTTCGGAGTTGCAATGTGCAGGAGGAGGAAGATGCAGAAGGTTATCGTGGGGCTGGTTTGTGTGCAAGGAGGGAGGAAGGTGGCACATAAGAAGGAGAAGGCATCGGGGTGGGTGTGACGGGGGAAATGGGCTGCGGAGTAGAAGAGAGAAGTGGGAAAGGGGAGCTCTAGAAGGGCTAATGTGGGGGAATGGTGGGGGTGGTGAGTGGAGGGAGCAGGGGCTCAGACCCTAGAAAATGCATAAAATTAGAACTAGCAGAAAAAGTGGCAAGGAATGTTAGAAAAACAGGAGTTTGGATAAGGAGAAAGGCAGAGGAAATTCAAGAAAGCTGAAATTTGGAATAGAAAGTTCATTTTGAATAAGAAAGCAATAAGGAAACCAGAGAGAAAAGCAAAGAGGACAGGATAAATGTTTGGCATAGTTAGAGAACCTTCTGTCAACCTCCTTTCAGGAATGTTTTATAGAGGGAGCAAATAAAACATTTTAAAATCATGGTGGTTCAAAGCAAATAGAGCTACGGATTAGGATTACAAGCTGCAGAGCTGGCACCACAAATGGCGAAGTAACGACGACTAGTGACACATCATGATACTAATTGCTGCCTTTTTCTCAGAGCAGAGGGTCACTCCAGTCAGCAATTAAAGTAAATGATCCATATTTGAGTGTACAGGAAGAGCTGTAAAATCATCTGTGTTTTTTACTTGGCTCTGTTTTAGCATTCAAATTTAAACATAAATGGAAGTATAAACATGCTGTCTTTGAGAGCTCCTCTTACCAGTAAGGCACTTAACATGCAAATCTGCGACATAAATTTAGCTTACAAATGGTACAGCGTTAAGATTACGGTAACATCTCATTCTGTAGCCAGAAGAGATGTGAAAAAGATAACATGTTAGATAAATGACTATAATTCAAGGGAAGCCTGCCCAAAGCCACCACAGGCTTAGCATGGATGCTTCCACTTGGATTGGGTTTAAGATGAACGAATTGCTAGAGATGCAGAAACCTTCCTAAACTATTATTGTTATTATTATTTTATATTTATTAATACCCCGTCTTTTCACCTGATAGGATTCAAGACAACTTAAGGACTGAAGACAGATAAAAGCAAGAATCACTAAAAACACACAGAGAAAAACTATCATTAAATGTCTTGCTGAAACTCCCCAAAACTCCCGAAAGTCTCCAAATTCCTTTTGTATGATGTCTTACATAAAATCTGGTAACAATTATGAAGTGTGTAGAACATCTCCTGATGATGTTATACCTCTGTACACTGGGAAGCACAAGTAGGGAGATTTGCTGTTCACACGACTGCTGCTTGTGGGCTTCCCATTGGCATCTGGTTGGCCGCTGGGAGAACAGGGTGCTGCACTAAATGGGCCTCTGAAACACTAAATGGGCTTTTAAAAAAGATTCAGATGATTTAAGCCAGGGGCGGAGCTACCTGCCCTGGCACCCGGAGCGGCATGGGGGCGGGGCTAGCTGCCCTCGAGGCAAGCATCCCTAGCTGCCTGCCACCTGTGCGGCAAGCATCGGAAGGGGCACCGCTAGCCACTCGCAGCAGCATCGTCCCTAGTGTAATTTTGAAAAAGCAAAATTACCACCACCCACAAAGTCAGCGTCCGGGGGCGCCACCTGCACAGCGAACATGGGGGGGGGGTGGCACGGCAATGTCACCCACCCTCATGGCTGACACCCCGTGTCCACCGCACGCCCCGCACCTGCCTTCCTCTGCCAGTGATTCAAGCTATTTGGGCTATATTGTTTTAAATAAGATTCAGATGATTCACGCTATTTGGGCTATATTTGAAAGTTCCACTTTCAACCCTCAGAGAATCATATGCTCATATAAACACTGGAAGCATCTTTTTGTCCTGAGAGGGACCACTGACCCATCCAGGGCCAATACTGTCTACTCCAACTGGGAGTAGCTTTTCGTGATTTCATGCAGAGATCTTTGTGATCCACTCACGGGATTTGTCAGATATCATGAGCCTTAGCAGATTCCAAAGCAGAAAGGCACAGGGTCACCCTCTCTCAAAAGTTAATTTTTTATCAATTGTGCTGATGTTCATCAGTGCAATGCTGGTGTTGCGCTGATGAATTAGCCTTGGTCAGAAGGATACTGATTTCAAATGTTTTCATCCTAGAGGGGTTTTGTGTTTTGTTTTGCTTTTTCAAAATTACAGGTTAAATAAACATTATTCAAAGTGACCCTGCTCTGTTCAGTCTGTGAACTAAGATCCTACATAAGATGACTTAGTTGAATCTCTAAATAGTCTAGCGATGAATAATAAATGAATTCTATAATGACACTTCACGGCAAATGACATCGCTGCAATTTAGAATGAAAGATTCAGGTTTCATATTCTAGTTGGGAATTCATTGGCAGCCAGTCGAGCAAACTTTCTACCAGAGGAGTTATAAATTATTTCCAAAGCCATAGGGTGGCTGAAAATATCTTGCTTCTACACAGGAAAAAAAAGTAGGGACATTCCTAAGAAGTTCCATCCTCATTGTTTGCACAGACATAAGAGCCAGTTGACACATGTCAGCTGGCTAGCTCTACATGAGTTTTCTTTTAAAAGAACTGGTACCAATGGCTCAGCCACACTTCCTCCTGTCCAGCTGCTCTCCCTCTGGGGAAACCACTATTTAGCGATCTGTTGGAACAAGCAGCAAGAAGGTTTTCCATGGATTGCTACTTGTTCCAGTTTAAAGCTAAAGACCAGGTTTTCCCTGGGAAAGGAGCAGAGCAAGGGGGAAACTGCTTAAACCTGTGCCCCAGAAGCACAGGTCAAGTGAAAAGCCAATCAGTCCTGTGCTTTCTAGGCATGGGACAAGCGGGTGTGTGAATGAACCCTGAGAGATTAGTGCAGTTGCTGAATTCTTCTCTGGAATTAATTCAGCAGGTTTCCCGTCAAACTTTCTGCTACTCTTCCAGATTCCAGGATCCATCTGAGGCTCAATTCTGGAGGATATAGGAATCCAGCAGTTTCGGTGTCATGCTATGGCAGTATCATGTATTTATGGGCTCTATGATACAGGAAAGCAGAACTAAAAGCCTTCAAATATGAGCTGGCCTTATTTATTTGTTTGTTTCATTAAAATTTATATAGCACCTGGTATATAAAATTTATATACCAAAGCAATTTACAAATTTGCTTTATATTTGCTTCATTTAACAGTGGCTTCTGGAAAACAGGGACCAATAGGACCACAGCAGACGGATGAAAGAGCCAATGAACTTAAGAAAGAAGGCAAGAGAGCAAGACTGATGTGTGATTCCCGATATGCACCTTTCAGTCACAAACAGTGACTATGGGAGAGCTTGTTCTATTATTGTCTGAAACTGGTGGCATGAGGAAGAGTTGTGGCTGCTGCTCACCCAAGAATCCCCCAGAGAGGACACAGAAGAAGAAGACTTAGACGCCCGATTGTGGTGGTGGAACACTGGGGAGCAGTGTCATGGGCCAGGAGTCAGCTTCACCTGCTGAGCAGCAGCCTGAAGGAGCCAAAGGCAGAGTGACTCCACCTGCTGCTGATCAGCCTTCTTGCTCCTGATGGGAGCCAGCTGGCTCCAGCTTTCTTAAGCAGGGTTTCCAACCTCAGTCAGTTGCTGCAAACAATGTTCACCTGGCCAGACCTTGCTGCTTCTTGCTTCTCGTTACCTTGGACTCTTGGCTTTCTTGACCCCCGGATAGTCCGACTACATGAGCTGAGATGCCCCTGCCCTTAGGACTGGACTGAACCTTGTATATGGACTCTGCCTCCAGGCAAGGACCCCCCTGAGACTTGGCTGCTTGGCTGGCCTCTCCCGCCACTGAGCCCTGCTGAGGCTGAGCAGCACAGGACTACAGCAAGCAGACTGGGTAAGGGATGAACTGGGAGGTGTTGGAAGGAGGAGGTTTGAGTGATCAAGGGGGGTCAGAAGAAGGAGAGCCTTCCAGGACAGGACTAGAGGCTGAGAGTCTCAGTGGGACTCAGAGTCTCAGACAGATATGAGTCAGAGGTTGGCTCCACTACACAGCAACATGGCAGTCCCAGTCCTGCTGGCTCTCCTCCCCATCTGACACCCAATTCAAGGAGTCCCGCACGTTGCTGAGCAATGGGCCAGACAGGCTTGGAGGAGGAGCCCACCCCCTTGACACAGTCTCTGTCTGCTTGGGAGGGATCCAGAGGGAGAGGCTACAGGGGAAACATGGGTCCAGCCGTCAGTTTAAGCAACTAGCTGAATGAGTCGAGCCAGAGGACAGCCAGAGGTGTTGTTATTTTCTGTGAATTAAAGCTAATTGCATTTTGTGTCTCAAGTTCTTTCCTGCCCTGTGGATGACCCACGCTCGCCTGACAATTATACAATATATTCAGATATCATCACCAAACTTAGCATGAGGGTTCCCGACATGAGAGTGGAGGACTTTGTTGCCACTGGTATTCCAGGCACTATTTTGAATCAAGATGGTGGACTAAAAAATGACTTGAGCATGACTGCTTTTGGCATAGTTTTGTCTCCCTCTCCAGCTATTGCTGCCAAAATTGGCACAAGAGTTCCTGAGGTGGAGATGGGAGGTCTACATTGATGTTTGGATGCTAAGTGCCAGTTTGAATCTAGGTTGCAGACCAAAACATGACTTCACCCATTTTTTGACAGAGGTTTGACCACTGCAGGTGGACTGAATTGTTAGTTTGGCATTACTTCACCCATTTTTTTTTGGCATAGGTTACACTGCCAGTTGAGCTATCATCACCATCCTTGACATGAGGGTTCACAAGGTGGAGGCAGTAGACTTCAGCACTGTTTGTATGCTGGGCACCATTTTGAATCACTATGACAGACCTAAACATCACTTTGGTGTGATGTCTTGACATAGATTTGGCCTCCTCTTGATATATCATCGCAGATATGGATGGCATGGGTGGTAAGCAGGAAATATTTGGGAATGCCTTGGTGGCTGAAATGAGGCAGAAATTACAGCCTCTGAGACCAAGAGGAGACTGTGAGGAAGGTGAGCAGGATTTTAAATCAGACTTAACTGATAGTCGCCTTCCAGTGAAATTTAAATATGCCAAAGTTAGGGAAAAGAATGGGAAACATTTATCGTATATGTGCAAAATAATGTAAATAAATTGATACATTGGCAGGCTCAGACTACACACTTGCAATCAGCAAAATGTGGATAAAATAAGAAGAAGAAGAACTGATGAAGTATGTGTATGGAAATGCAGAAGAATTTTGTTAATATAAGGAACCAGAAGAGGGAATGGAGGGAAGTCATGAGGTCTAAAGAACCTCAAAGATAAGGTTTTGAAATGTGTTTTTTGTGTGTGAATGGGGATGGGGATTTGTTTTTTGTTGTTAATTGTGGAAATTAATTGTGAAAAAAACATAAAAAAATAGAGAGGGAGAGAGAGAGAGAGAGAGAGAGAGAGAGAGAGAGAGAGAGAGAGAGATGATCACCAAACTCTGATTCGCCCAGAGTGGCTTGGGCAACCAAGTCAGATGGGTGGCATATAAATAATAAAATTATTATTATTATTATTATTTATTAACAAGGGTTCCCAAGGTGGGGATGGCAGCCTTTGTTGCACGTTTGGATACCAAGCGCCATATTATGAATCACTATGGTAGGCTGAACTGTTACTTCAGTGTGACTTCGCCTGAATTTTGGTGTGATGGGTTCAAACTCACAAATTACACTGTCCAATTTAAAACACACACAATATTTTTTTGTTTCTAAAAATGTCTGGGCAGCACCCAGTCCTCCCCGCTAATTATGCTAGAATTATAGAAAACAACAAAAAACTTTTTCTCTGTTTACTCTCTCCATATTGTTCATAATATTATATACAGGCAGTGGTCATTTTACGCACATCTGATTAACCGCACATGACACTGCTGACCCACAAGTGACTGGAAAGCAGGGTGGAGCGAGGCGGGGGGGGTGCAGGCTGGTGTGGATTCTGCTCAGCGTTCTGGAACGGAATCCCCATGCAAAATGGTCTCCTCTTGAACCTCAGTCCTACACCCCAGGAGCTGCATTTTTTCTGTACAACATTTTCCTCCTACATGCATCATAAAATAACACCAATTATAATCAGGATAAATGCAAAACATAAAAAATTAATAATCACATGACCAACAGGGACATGGGATTTATTGTTTCTCTAGGTTTGAGAGTAATAATATGCTCGTTTAATATGAATAACTTTTCTACTTCTCCAAAGAACAAGGTATTTCAGTTTGCAAAGAAACTTGTGCCATTTGATATATTGTTTCCTATAATTAGAGTCTATGTGATGTCATAATTTACTAATAAAACAGATTTTAATTTCACATGCCTTACTCTTTTTAACACTAGCTGTAAAAGCAAGAAAATTATTTTTCTAAATATCAATCCCACTCCTCTGCCAAAGCAATTATATTATCAACAGCTGTTAATTTGCAAAACAAAACGAAAACAAAACCCACCATAAAAAGTTTTGGGGACAGGGTATTTGCTGGCATTGATAATACAAAAGATTTGTTAATTTTGGGCTACAAAATGGAAGCTAAACAAATTAAATTAGCTGCAGCCAGCAGAATTCTTGCAAAGGAGGGTTTCAAAAGCACACAGTGTACAGCAATGTGAGATTGCTCCCTTGCCCAGGGTAATGGGGGTGGCAGTGGGAAGGGAGAGAGAGAATGGTTTTCTAGTCCATAGGCAAATCTTCAAAAAAGCATTCCTGCATGAACTGGTTTGAAATGAATAGTTTGCAAAAGTGCTAATCTGCTCTTTACTTGATCATTTCAGGAGGACTCAGATGTTAGATGTTCCCAGAAGATTATGGCCCTTATATCCAATAAATAGCATATAGCTCTGCTATATCTTTTTCTGATTCATCCTCACAACAATCCTTTAGTAATGTGGGAAAGTGAGACTAGAAATTAGTGACGTGCTCAGAATCATGGCCATTCTGGACCAATTATTCACAGAAGACTTAGGAAAGGCAGAAATACAGTGCATGTGTCTAAAGATGACTTCACAGAAGCACCTTTGCTTGGGCCAACATAGTAGTTCTACTTAGTTACTGTATTACAAACTTACTATAATAATCCAAAGGAATGTGTACAGAGGCATAAAATCTGGATATGCTGAACCTCACCTGCCCACCAATTAAAAATCCTACCAGCCTGCTATCGTGCAGAGCAACAAAACAGTGAATCTAGCACCCATTCACAACCCAAACAGCTTCACACATGCTCCTCATGTGACAGGGGGACAAACACACAGCATTCACCTGAGAATGTAGTTTCCCATCCAGTGCTGGATATGTGCACAGCGGCCTAAGCCAGACCAGGGAGACTGGCAAAGATTCTTATATACTAGCTTGGCAAGAAGAAGAAGAAGAGTTTGGACTTGATAACCCGCCTTTTACTCCCCTTAAGGAGTCTCAAAGCGGCTCACATTCTCCTTTCCCTTCCTCCCCCACAACAAACACTCTGTGAGGTGAGTGGGGCTGAGAGACTTCAGAGAAGTGTGACTGGCCCAAGGTCACCCAGCAGCTGCATGTGGAGGAGCGGAGACGCGAACCCGGTTCCCCAGATTACGAGACTACCGCTCCTAACCACTACACCACACCATCAAGACATGGTTCACTTTGCTTCAAACAAAACAAACAAACAAACAAATGCAGGTATGTGTATATGTATATATATATATATATTGTCCACAGGACTTCCGGGGTGGCGCCATCGGCAATGGCGGACTCCCTCTGAACTGGAGGGACTAGCTCCGCGGGAAACGGGTCTTCTCCGCTACGGCGAAGCGGGGACCCTTTCAAAAATCACAGGTGGATGAAGCCTGTGACCATGGGACTCGGCGGGCACCTTTAGCGCCCCCCCAACTCGCTAAGGAATCCACTAACGGGCTCCGAAGTGAAGAGGGGAAGTGGCGCGGTGCTGTGAGTCAACTGCTATTTCCGTGGAGCGAAGCCACATAGCCGTTGCCGGAGAGCGCTGCCTTTTTCCTGGGACAATTTGGACTCTAAAATAAGCACCCGTGAGTACTTAGACTTTGAACAACTGGACATTAGATGGGGACTTGCGAGCAGAAAGGAATTGGATCTTAAAAATCTATTTCAATTTGGTATGGAACGGGAAGGTCTAAACAGGAAGTCAGCCTTCCGTTCTTCTGTAGACAGAATAAAGCAAAGACAACGTAAACTAGAGCTCAGAAAATCGCTTTTAAAGGATTGGATTTCATCATTTAAAATTGTGGAACCCCCCTTCGACAGCAGGAGAAGGGGGATCTTTTTTGGACTGTTTAAAGTGAGTTTAAAGTAAAGCAACTTTCCTACGTCCTGATCCTGGTGCGGGTTGTCAGGACTGACGTTTGAAGTTCATTGACCAGAGACAAACGTTTTTGACAGATAGCTAAAAGAAGAGAAACATAGTGATTCCACTGTTTCCCTTCGCATTTCAAAGGAACAAATATTGACAAAGTATCTCAAAAAGGGAAACTTTGTTGCAAGATCAAATAGAAGTTTTCCCCCTAGAGGGAGACTGTGAAACTGTAACCAACTCCAGGGAGCCGGCAGCTGTTTACAGATTACAATCGTGGGAATAGGCATTTGACCTTGCAGGACAATGTATTCAGAAGCTTTGTTGTGTGCTTTCTACAAAACAAATGCCCTACTGGAACAGTTACATGAGAAGGTGAATTTGATGACGACTTCGACTAGAAATTTTGAACAGGCAGTGGGAAATTTTGAACAGACAGTGGGAAAATATGTGGAGCCCACCCAGGAATTAAATCAGGAGTGTGTCCTGACAGAACAGGCCCAACAGGAATATGAGTTTTCGGATTTGACAAATGAACCTGGAAAAAGCCAGATTTGGAAAGAAAAAGTTTGGTTTGGCTTGGAAATAGGGGGCTGGATTGACCCCCCTAAGTTGGGATGTTTGGACTTTTCAAAT